TCCTTCGGTATCCAGCGAGATTTCTGGTCTGCATGGTTGCGACCAGCCTTCAGCAAAGCCGCAGTGCTATCAGGGATTTAGTGCTTGGATGAAATTGGCTGGGTTGTACCGCAGATAGTGGCACTTTGGATATATCTGCGGTCCGACATCAGTCTAGTAGGTAGACGTTGCATAAATAGGTTCTACCATTTGTTTGATTTAGGTGTCCATAAGTTTCTCAGTGCCGAATGCGGCTTTTTCGTAGACCTGAGAAGTGTGACAGGAAGCAGCGACCGTCAAGTATATGAATGGAGGCTAAGCAGATGTTTTAGAACGAAGAAGACAGTGGTCGATACCAGCCACTGGTGGTTCAAAGTAATAGGCTTTATCCGAGTAAGGTGCTGGTTTATTGGTGGACAACACGCTGCTCAGCTCTCTTGAATATTGGCATTGCAGAACAGTGTGTGATCAGCACACGTCTGCAGCAGCCACTCTCCACTGTACGTGCGCCTCGTGTCCAACCCGAGACGATAAACCAATTGGAACTCAGCAGCGCTAAGCCCACCTACTTGGGCGTTCATGTTACCGGCAACGGACTTTATGGGGTTTTAGGTTGTAGCTCCTGTAAACTGTTATTTCTGCTGGGATATTACCAGAGGAAGTTCAGACGGAGGTCGGGTTCCAACCACGTACCTCTCTAACTACTGAGCCACCTCGCCCCCTTCACTGTCAACATCGGTCACGTTATTGTACCAGGTTTGTCTTAATGAAATAAAATGACAAGCCCCGACTTATCGGGCTCAATGGGTATTTGTGCCTTTTGTTGAGTGACTGCGTTTGTGGCTGGCGGTTGAAGGACATTGGCTAGCACCAAGTGCCAACATGAACAAACATTTTAGCTGAAAACACTGAACCTATCTATTCACGTCAGCGCATACCGGAAGTTTGGAAAGCCAAGAAAGTAGAACCTTTTCTTCTTGGTGTGGTGGTTCAACGGAATACGGACCTGCGGAATTTCCTTTTGTGAAATGCGAGTCGAGATTTCCTTGGATTGTTCTTCCTGAGACATTATATCTAACTTACATCAATAGCTTGTTCTGTTCACTAGGGACACCTTAGGGCCATTAACCACCAAAAGGTTATTATTGAAGATGGACGCGCAAAAGCCGCAGCTGAAAGTGATACAACATAAACAAAGCGTTAGCCCTACTGCTGAGACCTGCCGAGAGTATTTCCATTTTTAGGGACGAATAAACGACCGGTCTCCCACGTTACTACACTGAACACTTTCTGCCGTTATTAGTCTCAATTTAGCCTTTTAGGACAGATGACTGGAGACTGCATTGAAGGGAAAATAACGGAGGGAAATGTAGTAATCGTGAGTTGTTTAGCACCCCGAGTGATGTTACACAAATGTCAAGTGTACTTCTGATACGAATCAGGATAAAAATGGCGTGTCCGGGCCTCCGACATAAGGCGGTGGACAATGCAAAGCCTATTTCATGTGTGGACGAGTGCTAGAGATCTTACCATAACCAGTGACCGAAGCATTGGACAGCTTAGTGGTAGCAGGTTGACCTGACCCGGAGGCAAACTAAGTACTGAAAATCTGACTCTGATGCCACCGCGTATGGCGAGAAATTTTGAAGTCAATGTTGATTAGTGGAAAGATGCATTGTTCTGTCATAACCGACACACGGCAATGATCAAACGTTTGGCATTTAAAGCGAAATTTTTAAGGTTAATCTTTTCCAGGCCTTTCCTCAAGAGCCGTTGTTGCCTCCGTGAACATAAAAATACTAGTCGCCATGGAGAAGCCCCTTGCTGTTTACGTGTCCTTGTACGAAGCAAAGTACGACCTGGCCCTCATCTAACCTAATGACACGATTTCTCGCTGAGATAGCTCAGTGGTGAAGGTGCGAACATAATGACCGGAACGTCGGTGGTTCGAAACCGATATTTGCGTCTCGACTGCTCCTGTCTAGGCCTGAATAAATGAAAATAATAAGTTGCTCAGCTGTGGCACTTTCCCAGTACCTAGCTGCCATGTCAGGCGAAGGAAACACGAGGGCTGAGATACTGCCAGGTTGCCAAAGCCTAAACGGAGAAAGTCAAGATGCAAAGGCCGGGTTCGAGCAACGGACCTTCCGGTCTCGTCTAGGCTTGGGCAACCTGACATTTATTCAATCATCGTGCTACGCTCAGGTAACACGATATCTATGTACCGCGTGTTGCAGATGAACACTTTTTAACGACATGGCGTTCACCGCTGTCGTTCAGGTGCTAACATAGGGTTCTCGTGACTGGGTCAACACGAATGGAAGGCAGTGGATTCATGTTGCCCGCTAGGTCACCATAGTAAACTAACACGACAGCCTCGTTCATCTGTCATTTTTCGTTTGCACCTCTAGGCTTCGGATGCCCACGTACTCACGGTGAGACGGCAACAGAATTGCAAGTAGTGCAGCAGGGTCACTATCATTGTCAGTGATGGCGGTGTCATCTGACTAATTTACGAGACATAATCCACACAGAAAACATCACATCAAAAGCACAAGCCTTAGAAAAGATTTATACCATGGAACAAAAACCAAAATGAACATTTGGTAAGAAGTGGTTTGGTTGTGCCGTCCTTTAACAGATAAATGATCTGTGACACGAAGCACCAGGACTGAGATGTTTCAAGATGGCCGAAGCCTGGACAAGGGCAACTGAAAAGCAAGTCCGGGTTGGACCCAGGCAAATGCTGGTCAGCAAGTTGCACCCTAAACTCTATATCGATTTGACCCCTGCTAAAGAAGCTGCAACATTGAGTATAACCATTCTCTCAACTATTACATAGATTAACGGAAAAATTCGAACGATATCGTTTGATTGGGGTTAATTTATGGACAAACGGAGCAGCGGTAGAATGTTAAGTGTGTGCTTAAGATTACAAAGTTGTATGTAACCCAGTAGCTAATCCTTACCCAATATAAGGATTTCAGCATGGGCACATGAAGCTTTTGCTGTCTGGAGAACCTCAACTCTCACTGATCTACTGGTGCGAGAGCCCTAAGACATGATGGCCAGAGTAGGTTTGTGCTCTCCTCAGAAAGGCGCCTCTGTAAACCTACATTGAAACCAGAGGCAAACAACGAAGGGTTAGGGTTAAGGCCCAAAATAAGCCTGGCCATCAGTAATAGGGAGGAAAGGTTTCTCCGTGAGGGTAGTCGAGAAGATATCTGACTATGACTGCTTACCAAAACGTACTAGAGGTGCTTCGCTGCCGTATGGTTAAGATTAGGAAAATCATTCTCTTAGGACAGAAGCATTCCCCCATCACAATCAGCATAAGGTGGTTACTTGCGGACAAATGTGTCCTTCAGTTGTAGTATCCTTTCGGTGCCTAACTACCATGCCACTAGAAGGAAGCACAAGGGCTGGGATACTGTCAGGCTGCCCGAGCCCAGACAGAGGAAGTCGAGAGGCAGAGGTCGAGTTCGAACCACAGACCATCGGGTCAGCCAACTCGAGCTCTAACCATAGCCATCTGGCCCCCTGGGAAATGTATCACGGCACCCATATTCTAAAATTCACTACTGGTCTAATCACTCCAGGTGTCCTGACGTTGGTTCTGGAGGGACAGCTCATCCCGACATATTTTTCCCGGTCTCAACAATATTCCCTGATAAATTCGTGGCTAACGCCCCCTTACAAATAACTATTACGTCCAGCACTCGTTGAGACCAACGAGTCAGTAATATACATGCAACGGTACCGGGTAAATGAAAAAGGGAATTACAAGTGGGGACTGTCCATCAAATGAAGTGTACCGTATGGTGTTCGGATTTAGCTGCGGTTGCTCCATAAGTTATTACTTAAACTTACAGGCCCATGCTCCAAATGCATTTCTCGAAGCGGCCAAATGCTCCGATAGTCTTCGCAACCCATGGTTTTCGCCCATCAAGTGCTAGGTGTGCGAATAATATGTGGCCACGCGTTGTTTCAAAGGCTTTTAGCTGGATGCTTGACGATTGGTATTGAATCCCGGCTGGAGTTGACATGCTTCAGAAACGTTATCCTAGGGGTGCAGCGTGATGACCTTGAAGTGAACAGCGAAGTCGACCGAGTAATCCCGCTTCGTATGAACATAAAGCATAATTGTTCTCAAACAATTACGTTAACTAACCGTGTTCTGATAATGACATTAAACTGCAATCGTAAAACACCACGTACGTTGTCCTTAGACACACGCTGGGCAGGGTAACATTTAGCTTGCACAGAAGCAATGAACAAAATGGTGCTAAACATGGACGTCGCTTCAATCAACAGTTACGTTTGAAATCTAGGGCGAAATTGTGGGTCCACACTTGACCTTGATTGAGTTGGTCTATTTGTCTGCACAGTGCAGCTTGAGCAGCACAACTGAGCGCTTTTTTGTCAATGAACTGTACAACTTGGTGTGGTTGGTTTTACCCATCACCTTCTTGTTTGCTTTGCGGCATTAGGTCGAAAATACAACGTCTGCACAGAAATTGATGAAGCTCTTCAAGGAAGTCTTTCTTCAAGTCGGTGAGGATACGAGTAGAAATACACTTTTGTGCAGAAGGGAACGAGTTCACGCTTCTTCTTTAACGTCTTTTCGAACACCTCAGCAGCAGCGGGACCTCGTAGCTCTACAGGCAAGACATCCTGCCACATTACCAACTCACCTTAAAACTAATTTTAACGGTGTACAGTTACATTTCCGTAGGTAGATCGATCCAACTGGACTTCAAACGTTATGAGGAAGTGGCTCACACCGCTCGAAATCCGCCCATGTAGACCGGTTGAATAGTGACCTCGAAATTGAGAAGTGATCTCAAGTCCGTGAGAAATTGTTCCAAATCATAAGGTTTCCTGACAGTGCGGCTCTTCTGAGCCGGGCTATGGAATCCTCGTAAGTGCCTCGGGACACCTAACTGCGGTACAGAAATTTTATCATAGAGACGGCTACTCACCCTTAGTCACATCAACTTGTCGGAGAGTAAGTTATTCACCCATACGTGAAGTTCATCCGGAACCTCGCAATGAGAGCACCTGATCATCTACAGATCGCAGTTAAGCGTTCCAGCCGCCAAGAGAGCCAGCCGGCGTGCGAGCAATCGGGCTGATGGTCGGGGCGCCACGGCCCCAACAGCCAATCACGGGCTCAGGGATCGAGAATTTCAACCAAGTTTACCGGGTCGGTTTTATTCTTGTCGGTCAGTGGCCGTCATCCACTTGAAAAGCACAAGTGAAAAACGGTGTATTACCGCTATCAAGTTCTCAGCGCGGGGCAGTATGCTTGCCAGCGCGAGGACTCGCATAAATAAATAACTGATTGTTCTTTGAGCTGGGTTCTGTAAGGTGCGTGGACAACCGTCGGAGGAAGGTCATTCCACGCTGCTGCTACCCGAAGTGAGAAAAATTTTGCCCAGTGAACGTGTGCGCTCTGAGCTTGAAAATTCTCTTACCATGTCCCCTCCGTGTGTTTGCTGGGTCAAGAGGTGGAAAACCTGTTTGCCAAGCTTTGTTCAAACAGGGCATAAGAAAGAATTAGGTCCCCTCGGAGGCGACGGTACTCAAGGGGAAAGAGATCAACCATCGCGATACGCGTTTCGTAGTCCACGGATTTGGGGCCGGCAACCATTCTCATAGCAGCCCGCTGGACACGCTTCATGCGTCCTGAGCAGATAACTTGATTAGTGTACTCCAGGAGCGGTCGGACGTAGGCCCCATAGAGTATTTGGAAGTCCATGCGAGTAATACGGGAGGAGGTGCGTCGGATCATCCGTAAAATGGCGAATGCCTTTTGGGCCGATTTCTCATGGTGTAGTGAGAAGGACAAGTTTGAGGAGACCCAGATGCCCAAATCTTTTTTGGCATCTATCCTCATGATGTTTTCTGGTCCCTTTTCACCATGCATAACAAAGGCATTCGCTGAATCCCCTCCAAACGACACATGGACGCACTTTTCATCATTCAGAGGAAGGTGCCAGTCCAACGACCACTGCTTGGCAGCGTCTACATCCATTTGGAGGGAACTGGCATTGGAACTCCAGGATTTCAAGTCGTCCGCAAAAAGTAGACATGGGGTTGCAAGAACATCTGAAGGTCGTTGACGTAGATCAGAAACATCCGTGATCCCAGGACGGAGCTTTGAGGAACTACAATGGAGACCGGTGCTGGAGAAGAGTGGGTTTAGCCTATTCTCCCTCGGAATGATCTGTCTGATAGGAACGCCTTGATCCAGCGAAGGATTTTCCCTTGAATCCCGTAAGACTCGAGTTTGTGGAGCAGCGGGACGTGTGGGACCCTATCAAATGCTTTTGAGAAGTCGAAAAATATGGCATCCGATATGAGTCCTTCGTCCTTGGCTTGGGTTAAGCTGTCCATAAACATGAGCATGTTTGTAAGGCGAGAGCGGTTTTGGAAAAATCCGTGTTGGGGTGGAGGTATCAGGTTACTGGAAGTAAAGTGATGTAGGGTAGCTCGCCTCAGAATGCGTTCCATCACCTTGCATAGCACGCTAGGAGGCTTTTGGGCCTGTAGCTGCCAGGCGATAGTCGGTCACTGGTTTTGTAGATTGATTTGACAATCGCTTCCTTCCAAGCAGAGGGAAGGCGGCCTTCGTCAAGCGACTGACGAAACACCAGGTATAAACGATTTGCCAGTGTCCACGATGTTTCCTTCAGGATCCTTGCATGGAGCTCGTCGGGCTCCAACGTGCTGAATGGGTTGATTTTGTGCAAGAGTTCAAGAATATCCTCCACCGTGAAGACCAATTCGGTTGGGGGCTGTTCTTATTTACGCCTTGACAAGAGTGGATATGACGGGGACGCTGGGGCTGAATATAGACCTGCATAGTGTTCTATGTAAACCTCAAATACCACTGTTGGGTCACTCGTGGGTTCTCCGTTCCTGTCCCTCAAGGAGAACGCGGATGGCTTATTTCTGCGGCGATGTCTCATGTATTTGAACAGTACATTTCTGTTTTTTCCTAGCGGGGTCCAAAATGGTGGTTTGTTTTCGTATGTTCCATTGGTGGATTTCTGGTTTACAGCGGTTCCACAGCTCACGAAACACCAGCTCATCTTCTCTGTCTCATGTAGTCCGGTTTTTGAAAAAAATGGGACCTCTTTTCCAGAAGACGTCGAATCCCTTTTGACAGCCTGCGGCCCTTCCGACTTCGTGCTGTTTTTTTGGGACAAATGTCGCGTCAGCCTTGTGAACTTTCTGGACAATGGTCCTATATAATTCTTCCACTGAAGCTGGTCCCAGTTTAACTTGTTCAAGAAAAATGCATCTTCCTGAAATATCTGCACGGCAGAAGTTTTGAGTTTCGGGGTTTCTGGCCCAACAGCAGATGAAGTCAAAGGTCAGCTTCCAGTGTTCGGTTTGTCCCAGTGGGGCGTTACTTGTTGCCTGATCAACGAATTGTCTTTTGTTGGTAATGACTAGATCCAGAAGGGATGTCAGTTGGCCTGCGCGGCTCCCAGTGGGTGTAATGACATGCTGGGTCTAAGCGCTCTGTCGAGCGACTTCAATCAGCGCTGCTGCATAACCTCTAGTTGATCCGAAGCGCTAGAGCCCTGTCTAGGAGGCCTTCGCGGCGTTTAAATCACCCAACAACTGGAGATGAGTGAAGTAGTAGCTGGAGGAGGTTCGCTCAAGTGTATGTATGAAGAATTGGTCATCTTCACGGGGACTCGAGGGGCTACGGTAGACCACACCGAGAAGAACACAATCGGACCCACAAGGCGTTATTTGGATTCGCAGCGCACAGCAAAAAGGTTAAGGAGTGGTATCGGAGAGGACAAGCAGGATGGATAGGGCCGCCAGTTAGCACACAGCAACAACACCAGCGCTCCTTCGTTTTGAGTCAGCTCGAGAAACATAGCAGCCGTCCATTAAGATCTCCATGTCAGAGACATCTGGTGTCAGCCATATCTCTATGAGTGTGATTATGGACGGCTGTTCAAGGCAAACTGAGTGCTTAATATCGCAAAGTTTGTTGAAAATGGTGAGACAGTTTGTGGGCGAGCATTTGAACACTGTCTATGCTGCCTCTGAAGGTGAGGAACCGAGGGTTGTATGAGCAGGGAGGCTACCAGACTCAATAGTTGTGCGTCAGGTTTGGCTGCAAGGGTATCAAGGGGCCTCCGACGATTACTCGTCAGCTTTCTGACTCAGTGGTTTCGAGGTATTCCTTTCATTTGCTAGATTTATTCTATCGATGGGAACCCGGTTTACAAGGGCCTTTTACCTTTGGGGGGTGAGGCGAAGTTTTTTCCCGCTGTGCGAAAATTTCGACCACTGTTAACTGAAGCTCCTTTAATACCACCTTTTGGACGACCAGATTCGCTGTTTATCGAAGAGTTGGGGCAAACTTTGAAGTCGCGGAAACCAGCGATGAATGTGGGTGTCCAAATTCCTTGCATGTTTCCACTGTGCACCTATATACGGTGAGGCGCCTATTGCTCAGGACCGGTCTTGAACATCTGGAACATTCAGGGTACATCTGACAGTCGTCATATTGAAACTGCTAACGCAATGTTATGAGGCCGGTAAATAAAGTAGGTTTTGCATTTATTTCATGTGGAGCAAAACGCCCGCAGGAGTGAAGGAATTTCAGCAGCGTCCCGAATGTTCAAAGCAGAAAGAAAAATACTTCCGCGAAATACAGCTGAAACAAGTTGAGTTGTCGAATCGTTGGCGGTCATACACCGCAGTAGGCGCAGAGTCTCACCAGCTGACATTAGCTCTTGACATTAGGAAAGCTCACCCGCAGCCCGATACGAGCCACGACACCAATCTGTTTAGTGGAAAAGCATGAAAATGCAGTTGAGGGCATAAGATGAGACTAACAAAAAGCTGGACTCATTGGGCTTCAGAAACGAAGCGTGAATTTGTTGTCAACGTTGGTCGTTTGGCGAACTTCTGTGGCTCAACGGCACGAGATTTTTCAGCGTCAAACCTAAGCTTGGTTTAATTTGGAGGGATTGGATCTATCATTGGCACTCATTGGGACGAACGGTTTGCGACATTTACGGTTTCGCATTCACAAGACTGTGATTAATCATTTTAAATTCTCGGGATAGCCCATAGAGAATCAAGCACGATGGCACACAGCGGTTGCTTTCGCCATGTATGGTGGAGCGCGTTAGTGCCGGCCACGTTCCGGGATGACTTGGTTAGGTAGCTAGAAGATAATCCTGGTGTTTTTTCATCCTACGTGGCCAGATCGTTATGGCTCTCAGTCGTGTTGTTAACTAATTTAGTCGTGATCAGCAGCCTTGTCACAGGGTAGACCGAAAACGCGCACCTTATTTGTGTATTCTATGGACCATCTGAGACGCCAGTAACATTCCGATGTCATGAGGTAACCACATCTCTCTGATTACGGAGGATTCCATTATTTGGTCCCTATCTCATCAACCGTGAAGGATAGCTTCGTCCAACCATGCATTGCCTCTGGGGTTCCCTGGACCAGCTGCCTGTTAGTTGCTGGAAGTGGGCTTGAATCCGTACAAAGGTGACAAGACTGTCACCAGATGCCATTTCAAAAGTGTGAAATATATAGTGACAGCCATATTCGAGAGCCTGGACTTCAGGAGGGCCACGGCAGTATTGTGCAGTAATGATTGAAAACAATGAGGCGCTAGTAGCTTCCGTTTGAATTTCGATTACAGAAAACCAGAAAATATGAAACTTTGGCATTCAGCACACGGCAAAGTGGGTGAAATCAATAGTAACTACCCGCATAACAGAGCTTGCATAGCGGCGAAATCAACTCGGGTGTGATACTTCAAGGAGAGTTTGGTGCGAAGTATTTGATAGACCGGTGAATAAAGCAAGCCAGGGGGTAAATATGGATGTATGTGGATAAGGGTGACATGTCTCCGTTGAGTGGACAGCTGATAACGCACGGCAGCCAGCCACATAGCAGAAGGGGACCGATGGATGCAAAAATGGAAGGCTAATCAAGGCGAGGTGGCATTGAAAGATGTTAATTAAAAACA